AGTTTCACAAACCTAAAGTTAGACTTTGTACGTGCAGCCAAGTTAGACTTTCTCACTGTTGCAGCCTGACAATACCAGAGACCTGATTTGAGACTTAATAAAATCATTGTCAAATAGCATTTGTAAGAACGCAGTTGCAATGAGATGGTGCTAAGTTGAGGATAATGAATTATGCAGTTACGGCTGCAGTCCTCTGGGTGTCTACAGTATAAGACAAGCACGTGGATATATAGAAATGCAAAATAAGAATGGCAGACAAAATTAAAATGGTCCAAGTTACTGCTCTGCCTTTGTGGATTCTTCCATCCCCTGTGACCCATCCATCCCCAAAAAGCGTATCCCAACCCTGGTGACCAAGGTAGAGGCAGAGCCTGAACATGGAGTCCAGCAGCTGCTGAGATGCTCATGGTTGGGAAAGACTTTGATGTTTGTGAAATCCAATCCCCACGATAGCCTTGAATTTCCTCTCCAATGGCTCTCCCAGGTAGTTACGAGACCTAGGTTCCAACACTTTCAGGAGCTGGGGACCCACCACTTTTTAAAACACACACATACAATCAAACTCTACATATCTGGGTGAGTATAACATAAAATTCTTCCATGTGAGGACAAATCTACTTCCTCAGAACCTTAGGACAACAGAGAATAAGTTTACATTCCTCTTCCATAAGACACTCCTTCTAATATTGGAAGACTGTTTTCTAGGCCCTTCAAGGCTTTTTCTTCAGCCACACCCCTTATTCCTCCAAACATCCAGGTTTCATTTCCCCTTTGCCCTCCATTCTCTCCTGAATGTGTCCTAGTTGCTTTATATTTGTCTTAATGTATATTCACCAAAACTGAACACAGTATTCCAACTAAGGACTAGCTGATGCAAAATAGAGTGGGGTTCTTGCCCCCTCAAAAGGACTTCTGCTAAGAATGGCTTTTTGTTAGCCACATCAGACTATTAACTCCCGCTCAGTAGATGCAGCCACTTTGAAGTGGCAAAGTCAAAATTGAAACCCATTATTTATTACCAAGTGATGATATCCTGCTCTCTTCTGCCCCTCACCAAAAGACCATCCATAAGCCTCACTCTACAAACATAAAAGTTTAAGAAATGGATGAAGTTTTCTGTTTTTCACATTCCTTTTTAAAAAGCTGAAAATTGTTTAATTTTCCCAGGATTTCTCAAAATACTCCAGGTCAAAATCATCTCAAAACATTATACAACGTGGTGAGCTATTGTAATTATATAAACCTTTAAATTCCACAAAGTTATATAAGTTAAGCCATTAAATGTCAACTAGTAGCCTAAATTAATAGTAAAATGTAAGGAAGCCTGGCCAATGTGCCTAAGTAGTTGAACCTTGACCCATGATCTAGGAGGTCACAGTTCGATTCCTGGTCAGGGCTCATGACCAGGTGGGGGCTCAGTCCCCAGCACATGCCTGGGTTGTGGGCTTGGTCCCCAGTAGGGGATGTGAAGGAGGTAGCCAATCAATGATTCTCTCTTATCACTGACTAGAGGCCAATGCATGAAGATTCATGCAAGAACAGGCCTTCATTCCCCTTGCTGCTGACACTGCCTTCACTCCTCCCAGAGCCATCTTTCTGCCTTCCTATGCTGCCCAGAGGCCCAGAGTAGCTGAGGCAGTGTGGAATGCCTGCATATGCAAATTAACCCCCACCTTTGTTGGGTTAATTTGTATACTCACTCCAGATTGGCTGGTGGGCATTGGGAAGATACGGTCAATTTGCATCTTTCTCTTTTATTAGATAGGATGTTTATATCCATCTCTCCCTCTGAAATCAGTACACACACACACACACACACACACACACACACACACACATATACTAGAGGCCCAGTGCATGAAATTTGTGCGGGGGGGGGGGGCGGGGAGGAGGGTCTCTCAGGCCAACCTGCACCCTCTCCAATCCAGGAGCCCTCAAGGGATGTCCTACTGATGGCTTAGGCCCATTCCCCGGGGTTCTCTGCTCTCTACAGGGTCTGCCTGCTCGACACTATGGTGACAGGCAAGCAGGCCCTGCTTGCCCGCTTGCCACCAGAAGAACTGAAAGGACTGGGGGACTCCTAGGGGTGGGTTTGGTTGTACTGCCTGCCTGCCGCTCCTCCAGCAGGGCTGAGGGGACTGGGTGTTGCCATCTTGTGGCTATGGGTGCTGCCATCTTTGTGATGGAGTGACAGTCAATTTGCATATTCTCTCTTTATTAGATAGGCTATTAAATGAAGAGGAAAGGGTATAAGGCTCTCATTAGAACCACCTGAGGTTGAAGCTCAGTTACATTAATAAAGAGCTATTGGCCAGGACATCTTATTCTGAATCTCTTTACTTTTCTATCAATAGAAATGGGGATAATACTTCATCTTGCCATGTCTTAACTAAGGTGCTTGCCACAAACCTAGTTGATGGAAGCCGGGCAGTAAATGGTGTGTTTCCCCTCACTGCACATATTACTGCAGTTTATATCTCATTTCCCTTAGTAGACCACTAGCCCTTAGAGAAAGAGAATGAGACCTGCTTGTCTCCAGGTCTCTCATATCCTCGACAGCTAGCATGAGTAGACACACATTCTTCTTGAATATAAATGTGAGCATCTGGCTTCAAATTCAGTCAAACATCATGCAGAAATAACCACATTTCTCTTCTGGCCTCTCAGCTTCACAAGGGATATTTGAAAATTCCCAGGGAGCATCTAGATTATCTATTAGAGAGATAATAGACTCTCCTCGGGTCTCAGGCCGTCATGTTCAAATGATGCTCTAAGTCTCATCTACTTGGGAAGCAGGTGAACATTGACATTTCTAATATTTTTTATGTTGACCCAATTTTAAGCTCTATTTCTCTCCTAAAGTAACGGTGTTCCGAGACATAGCTAAAGCAGGAAGGGCCAGAGGAAGCTGATGGGGAATGGCACATCTGATACAACCAATTTCTGACCTAAAGGAAAGTTTTGCTGGTCTCTGGTGTGTACCCTGAGCAATAAAATTAAGAGAGTTCACGCCCACACTGCCGCCGCCGGGCTGAGGTAATTGTTACTGTTATGGCTTTAGCAATGTGAGTGGGAGAAGATGAGAATTCTGAAAGAGACTGTTTACTGGAAAGCATCCCAAATATCTCATTAATCCGCTTTTCATTTGGCAGACTTTCCTTCCATTAAAAACGCCATGCTCTGCGGTTTGTGACAAAGCAAAACTGCCCCTCAGAAGGCGAAGCAGCCAAGTGGAAAGGGCTGGGACTTTGGAGCGAGTCAGACCTGGGCTTGATTTCTGTGTGTGTGGTGCTGACTTACTCTGTGCCTGTGGGCAGCTTTCCTTGCCTGTTAAGAGTCTCAGCCTTCTCATCTGTAAAGAGAGAATCACTGCCCAGTTGCGGGCCGGAAATAGTTGAGATCAGCCCTAGGACCCTGGGCATGTGTTTGTTTGTATGTTTATACTTTATGGCTCAGATGGTCATCTTCAAAATGAAGATCGTAATAGTACTTGCTTCCCAGAGTTGGTGGTGAGGATTTAAATGAGTGAATTAGGTAAACTGAATAGAACAGTGTCTGGCACAGAGTGAGTACGATGTAAGTGTTTGTTAACATCCTCAGTATCAAGGGTTAAAGGATACATGAAAAGGGGGCCTTGCACAGTGACTCGCCTGATAACTGGGAGATGCTGCATAGATGTCAGGAGACACACCTTCCCCACGGCGAGAGGCCCACAGGAGAAGCGTTGCATGAGGCTCTGAAGAAACTCCTTGGGTGGGAGGACCTTTTCCACAATTCTATACTTGGAACTTTGGAGAAAGAGGGTTAATGTAGATCAAATTGGTTTACAAAGAAACAGACCGAAGGAAGTGGAAGACGACGGTCGGTAAGGGAGATGGAGAAAGGATAAAGAGGCACAGTCCATGAAAAGGAAAAATGGCAAGTTTTCGGACACACCCAGATTACTATGGTTTGTTTGTTCCCCCACATCATGATGTCTTTTAAGAGCTCACTCGTTTGAGAAACACCTGCCTACAGAGTTCCCACTGTCAGGTGGCATCGGACCCTCTTTGAGGTTTTAATAAAGAGAGAGTAAAGGCCCAGCCAGTATGGCTCAGTAGTTGAGCATCAACCCATGAACCAAGAGGTCTAGGTTCCATTTTGTGATGGAATTCTGGGCCCCTCTGGGAGCTAATAGGTATCAGTCTTCCAGGAAATACTTGCAAGTATATTCATGAGGAACCAGGGAAGGGCAAGGTAATGGTCTTAATGTAGTGTTTAATGATTTTGGCTTTGTCCATGGCCTAAGTACCCTGTGGACTCACATCTCAGTGCTAAAAAGAGAGGGCTATCCATCTAAAATAATAAAGGGAAAATGTACTCATCATCCTGCCCTGTTCTGAGATCCATGCATATCCCCAACGGGGGAAGACCAGCATTATCCCACCTCTACCTGGCACATTAAGAACTTAAGAAAGGAATCAGAGTCTGGCAGAGGCAAGCATGGTACCAGGAGAGGGTGCCCAGTGAGAGCAAAATCTGTGTTTCCCGGAAGGCAACCAGCCTGCCCACATGGGAGCTGGAGCAGGAAACACATCATGAAATCCACAGGAGGCAGACAGAACTGGACAGCACACAGCAGACAAGCCCTCGGGACACTGTTGGGGGGTGGATGGGAGGACATTAGTATTTGTAACAGCCAAAAGAATAAAAATCTAAAACCGCAGGTTATTACCATTTACGTGACCCCTTTTAAAACTCCAGGCTAGTGTGGCCTGAGAAAATGAGCTGACATGGGTAATATCACCGCCTTCTGTTCCTTTAGTACAATTTAATCTGCATACAATGTTATAATGAGGATCCCTGGTGGGCTGTGCTCATCCGGACTAATTCTCTTCTGATGCCGGTGCTAGCAGGAAAAGAAACATGATTCTTGATTCTTAGAATTTAATTATGTGCTGCTCGCCATATATTAAAGTAATTCAAACTATTGTACCAATGGGATATATGATTTGTGTTACTTTTCTTATAAGTGAGATGGGCTGGTACTGAATCATCTGATTTCTCAATCAGGGTCCCTTGCAACCAATCACACACTTCTGAGAAATAGCAGGTCAGAGTTAGAAGCACGGTGTGTATTCATGAAAGAATTTCTCTGTAAAGAAGCAATAAAGAACTGTTAAATCAATTAAACTAGGAGGCCATTAGACGGAGGTGGTTCTAATACCTCAGCATTCTATGCAAGCAACCCAAAACCTAAGCCTGTAAATGCCTACAGTTAAGAAATCAAAACCTAACGACAACCAATCACAAACAGCCAACTCAGCTTTCGAAAATAATATAATTGTTGATAAGCTCCAGCCAATCAGATAACCCCCTTGCTTTGCTTCCACATCTTCTCTGTAAAATTGGTTCCTATTGGCAGAGCTCCTAGCCACTTCCCATTTGACAGTGCCCAATTCAAATGGGTTTTTATTCAAATAAACTCAAAATTTTTAATAGGCCTCAGTTTATTGCTTAACAGAACTAAGCAACACTAGTCCAAAAGAGAACCCAAAAAAAATGTTCATTAGTATTAGCTGGAGACTAGCCTTAACCTGTCTAGACAGGACCTCAGTCTAGAGTTAAAAACAAAACAAAACAGAAAACGTGCAGGTAAGATCTCCTATAACTTTCCTCAGAGTTCTTATGAGGGCCAAAAAGTGGTCATTTGAAACATTTTTAACCAATAAAGGATCATAAAAAAATAAATAAATAAATAAAGGCTATATAGTCCACTAGGGTAATAGAATCTTTGTTTTCAGGTAAGTTAACATGCCTGCTACCTGAACTGTTGTTAAATAACCATATTCAACCAAGTAAATTTAAAGATCTAATTGTCTATATTCAGTGATTCATGAATGGGCAGCGTCCCATCTAGTAAAGAGAAGGCCACACTCCAAGGGGTTGTACAAATAAAAGGTTTTTATAGGAAGAAGGATGGGGTAGGGGAGCTATTAGCAAACAAAAGAAAGGGTTAATTTTAGACCAGGACATCATTTTGGGGGGAGAAGGAACCAGCAAGATCTTTACCTAGATTCTTTTTTTTTCTTTCTTCTTTTTTAATTGGGGTTGCAGAGGGCCTGCGTGACACGTTGCCCATTTGGTGTTGACCAGAAAATTGCAGACGGGTAGATTAAGATTACATTCCCGGTGAAGCTTGAAATGATAGGGGCAGAAATAGAATATCGGGGACTAGCTATTAGTTATAAGAAATATTAATTGGTCGTTTTGGTCTGATTAAAGAAAGCACATTCTAACCTGGCTGGGGGTTGTACACAGGACCCAGGAGCTAACCTGGAAATGCAGCTCCAGGACATGGGAGTATCTGAGAACTGCCCATTGTCATAGAAAGATTAACAAACTCACTGAGGAAAGGAAACCATGGAGTCCCATGCCCCCAGCCCTTTGCAACCCCTCAGCCCACATTGCCTAAAATCTGTAGCCATTATAGCCATTCTTATTCCTTTTGCCTACTTCCTCATGTGATCTTTGTATTTGTACCCCATATAAGCAGCTGCTGGCTTACTGGGTGCAGGGCAGATTTTGGTGGATGACCTGCTGCTTTCCCATACTGTAGGCAGTATTGGAATAAAGACCCATATATGATACAACCCTGTCTCTGCTTAATTGGCTCACGTAGTGACAGGCAGCCCAGGCCCATTGGCTGTTGGATTTCAGTAAGGCAATAAGGTCAGGCATTAAGTCTAGGTTAAGTATCATGGGCTTCAGCACAACAGAAACCATTTGGTGCCTGTGGTTTTCTTTTTAACATTGTGATTTAACCAGTTAAAAATTTATAAAATATACCACTCCAGCTCATAATTTTCATGTGAGGACCAAATCCCCTCCCATTACAGTTTCTGGGCAGTTTTAGCTGATAAACGCCTTAGTGGTGCTGTTTTATACTATTGGATATTAAGCTTTCTTTCAGAAAACAAAAAAAATACATGTGCCAATACTAAGTTGATTCTGCCCCCGTTACCTTAAATGCACATGGGTATCTTCTTAAGAAGTTTGCAAATCAATATGCCACCAACGTAGTGAAAAGCGGCCACACACACTAAATGTGTGACTAAAAGGAAGCATCCTTCCCAGGAGAAAACCTAGTGGCTTTCAGTGGACAGAATAAGAAAGAAATTAAATTAGAGTTGTGGGTGGTGACAGCAGAAGAAGTAGGTCATCCTTTTAAATGCCATTTCCTCCAAAGTTTCATGTTAATAGAAGCCCAAAGTCCAAAAAGTGAATTTCCCTCTTGCCTAGGGGAAATGATGTCAAAGTAATTTAAATATTTTTCAAATGACTTTCTTTAATATCCCCTGCAACTGAGCAATCTCGCAGACCTGTAAATCTTAGCAAAGTCATTGTTTCCAGCTCTAAACCTTGCCTTTAGGTTTGGCTTTCTCTCTTTTTTTATGGATGAATAACATTTTCAATCAAGTTGTTTTTCTTGTTACTCCGGGAACCAGGCCTGTTTTGAATAAACATAATCCTCCATTTCAGGCTCTCTGGTCTTCCCTTCTTTTCTCATCTCTGCTAGAATATGAGATTCACGGTCCAGGACCTGGGGGGCATGCAGAGGAGATGCCGTGGATGGGACCATGTATTTTTGAAATCTTAAGAGCAGGGTCGCCTCAGAGAAGATGCTTCAGTTTCCTGAGTCGGGTTCCCAGCTGTAAACTATGGACAAGAGTGACACTAATAAGAATCAAGTAAAATTGCACTTAATGACCTCTCCTCTATGAATGCTCTCCATCCACTCTCTCTTCCCTTAGTGAGAGCTACTCACTCCCCACTTTGAGTCCCCACTGAGGTGTGAACCGACTTGGACCACTGTGGTGTAAACAACATTTTAGTTTATTTCCTTGTTTATATTTCTCTCTCCCTTCACCAGCCTAAAAACATTTAGAGGGCAGGACCTTTGCCTTATTTTAGGAATTCCCAAATCATGCTCACTAATGTTTGTTATGTAATGAGCTCAATGTCTGATGAAAAATTAGTTTATCAATTGACTAGTTGATTGATTGAATGAATGCTACAGATGAAACTGCCTTGTAAACCTCTGATCACACAATGTAAGTTACTATTATATGGAATTCCATGAATTAACTTTGAACTTAGTCAATTGCTCAAAGTCAAGAGTTAACAGACCTTATAAATGTCCTTATTTCATGACATCCTTAGATTTTGTTTATTGTTTAATCCAACTAGCTGCCAAGAATTGACATACCCTACAATAATAATATGCTAAAAAAATATATATAGTCCATGCAAAAGAAATATTGAAAAATATTTTGCCGGTTAGAATAGTTGCCCTTGGAGATGCAATAATGAAATAATATACTTTAAGTTCTTCTTTGGGTATGATCTGGTGTCCTGGTTCACACCATTATACTAACACCAACACTGTACACTCGGGGGCCTGTCCTCAGATGCCCAGTTTTCACCAATTGCTTTTGGTATGGGTACTTACAAGAAGTAGTTGGGTGTTTGGATTTTGTTTATGTTTTTTACACTATTCAGTTCATAAATATTAGATACCAGCTACGTGTTGGCTAAGTACAAGAGCTGCAAACAAGAATTTCAAGGTGGGGTGTGGGTTGCACCAGAGGGTCTTGACAAGAATGTAAATATCATAATCAAGACCAAACATAAATGTCATAAGGCTATAGGAAACTTTCCAGTGCTATGGGTCTAGAGACAGAAAGAAGTTAATAGGCAAAAGATCAGGAAAGGAGATGGAGAGATAATGCCTGTTAAAGAAGTTAAGCTTTACAATATTTCAATCCGCATAGATAGGGAGATCAGCATGATAGTGCTGGGGGAAGGGGAGAGTCTAAGAAGGCATGATACTACAGAAAGACCAGAAGGGAAGACCAGCTCCCATGGCTGTCTCTAGTCTTCATTTCCATTACATTCCATCTGTTCCTGATATGCTCTACCAACTTGATTCTGGTAATAACCAGTTCCAGATTAGCTGCATTTAATGTAAAACAACACTAATATTATTACTGCAAATATCTCTCCCTTTTTACTGCAGCAATAAGTATTATTTTAAAGTAATGGATCAATACTGAATTTATATAATATCCTTAGAGAAATTATTCAAAATTTAAAATACACTTTGGGTAAACTATAATTATATTGTCTTTAATTTTTATTAGAATTCTGAAGTCTAGCATTAACTTCTTCAGAATATTTTTAAGAACTGGGAAATGTAGATGTATAACTGTAGAACATTTTTTAACTCCAAATTCTAGAACAGGCTCTTTAATCTGTGATAGAAATAAAGAATTGGTTTAATGCAATGTCTTCCAAACTGCTGTTCTACAGGATATTAACAGGTGTTTCACTTTAAAAATGGGACATATCAATAGAACAAAGTTTATTAGAAATTTTTGTTTGTTTTGCTTTGTTTTATCCACAAGACTTCTAAGAGTCATTAATATGTTCTCATAAGTTGTAAATATTCAAAGAAGAGACATATGTTCTCCATATTTACTTTAAAAAAAAAGGGGGGGGTGTTAGACACATCTATTAATTCCCAGAATGTTGTTTTAAGAAATACAAATCTAGCCTGGTTGGTTTGGCTCAGTGATTAGAGGGTGGGCCCCAAGGGACTTGGACTCAATTCCTGGTCAAAGGCATGTACCTTGGTTGCAGATTCAATCTCCACCCTGGTTGGGGCATGTGAGGGAGGCAATCAATTTATATGTGCCTCTCTCACACTGATGTCTCTGTCTCTCTCTCCCTCTCTCTTTTTCTCCCACTCCTCCCTTCCTTTCACTCTCTAAATATCAATGGAAAAAATATCCTTGGGTGGGGATTGAAAATATATACAAATACGAAAAACAACTAATTACACTAAATTAAAGATAATTCCACAATTCAATTTTGGAAGAACAGTTGGCTTCCACAGAAATGTCTCCCTTCATCCAACAAAAAACACACTGAGCAAAACCAAGAATATTAATTCCAAACAAAAATAAAAGGTTATATAAATTACGTGGCAAATGCCACTTAAGCAATTCTTTCAAGGTGCCAAAACAAAAACTTTAAATATTAATTTCAAAGAAATACTGAAATTATTCTAAAGTATGGAACATATTTGATATGCTAATATTGGTAATTATAGTTATCATATCCTATCTAATAAAAGAGTAATATTCAAATTGACTATCACTCCAAGACACAACATGGCTGCCCCCATGTGGACACAAGATGGCCACCACAAGATGGCCTGTGGGGGAGGGCAGTTGTGGGCAGTTATGGGTGACCAGGTCAGCAGAGGAGGGCAGTTGGGGTGGGGGGGGTGGGGCCAGGCCTACAGGGAAGAGCAGTTGTGAGTGATCAGGCAAG